CGTATCGTGGAGCTGAAAGTTTATTGTTATGTCTAAAGTATAAGGTGCATCATTGGCTCCCTGAAGCTTCAGGGTTTCTACGCCTGCCCTGCCGAACCCCAGGGTATTACAGGTCTGGTTTTGACGTGTTCGCGGCGGAATGAGGCAAGACCCCGGGCGACTGCAGCATGGAACACACTCATTCCTACATTTTCCAGTTCTTTTGAGTTTGCTTTTTTCTGAATGTAAATTTTTCGTGTCCATGCAGCAGTGGACAACGCCGAGTGCCGTGGCAACTACAGTAACGGCGAGCACTTTGCACTGTTGGGGGGTACGTTTGCTTCTAACAGAGTCCACTCCCCTACGTCACTACATCTGTCCAATTTCGTTTTGAGCAATTGGACTATAACTCATCACCGTCGTGGCGAAGGGATTAATCATTGCTTCTGTACGTGCGCATGCCATGTCGATTCGGCGGGACGGGACTTGTGAGAGGCCGAGCCGGTTTCTTTCGTGCAAATGCCATCCCTGGCTCTTTCTCAAAAAAATACTCGCATACATATAGATGGATCTGCAAGTAACAACGAGCAGTGGATAGACTCGTTGATCCGTCAGTCACCACATCAACTGAGCTAGCGTGCCTAGGCGGAAGGGGACCCCGCTCAAAGGGTGTGCTAATTGGGCAAGCAAGATATATACATATGAGGTCCCCTGGCGCACACCATCTGATGGAGGAGACCTGGCTCTGCTACATCTAGCGTTGGTACTAGTTCTGGAGCAACTTAGGGTGGGAATCCCACCTAAACCCCATAACACAAGCCTGGCTTGAGAAGGCATTTGAAGCATGAATGCCGAGGGATCCCCTCTATTGCAGCGGTCATTGTCCGCCGGCTACGTGCGAGGTGCAACATAGTGCCTGTGTACTATGTAAAACCGCCGCTGACTCGAATACTAAAGCTGACAATGCGTAGAGGACATACACCAACGGGAGGGAAGGAGGAACAGCCAAACGATCTGGATGTGGCTGCTGCAGNCGACAGACATTTTGCAAGCAGCAGGGGCGGTGGAAACAGGAAATTGGCAGTACAAACAGGCAAACGCGGCAGCAGAGTTAAGAAATCCGCAACTGGTTGGTCGTGCGTCGTCCACCCCACTAGAAGGTACAGCAGACAGTAAAATGTCGCAGGCTGCAGAAGCACCAGGAATTCAGGAATCAGAGCGTGCTACGGGAAGTTTTCGCATAAGTGATCGCGCCTCGATTCAGGATGAAAAGCAGAAGTGTGCAGTTGAAGCTGCTGTCTCCGCAGTTATTGCAGCTGCTGCCGATGGAGCGGCGGAGCAAGAACAGGAGGCTCCCCCGAAAACGAATCAGGAGGGTGGCCGCGCATCTTCGGTACTGTCCTCTTTGTTGTCTGCTGCCCTGCGGCAGCTTCTGCCTTGGGTGCTGCCCTGCGCTCTGCAGGGTGCCTCAGCAGCAGACGTTAAAGTAAACATCGCGAAGAAGCAGTTGACGTTAAGCGGCATCTCACTACAACCACAGGAGCTTACAGCCGTTACGGGAGCCCCTCTTCACTTGCTCCACTGCAGCATAGGCGAATTACAACTGCAGGTGGGGCGGCAAGAGGAGGCTGGCGCTGTGGAAGCTGCTCGCAATACAACTGTGACTGCATCCAACCTCGGCTCGAAGATATCTGAAGGATGTGCCTCCTCTCCCGTAGCAACAGCAGCTGCAGCAGATGGAGTGGCGAATTTTGTGAGTAGGGAGGAATCTTCTTCCCTCAGGATTTCGGTGAAGGATGTGATTGTGGTGTTGGCACCTACGAGTTCACAGGAGTGGTCAAGGCAGCAGTTGCTTGAGTTAGCGCTGCAAAGGCGGAGGTCACTGCTTTACAACATGGACAGCGAGCTGAAGCAGCAAGAAGTGCAGAAGCAGAGCGGGTTTTCTCCATGCTTGTCCAGCTTGATATCACATTGGATAGATCGTCACATCCAGTGGGCCTCTTTGGATCTCCACAATTTGCACCTTCGTTTGGAGTTTCTAGTGCCCCCCTGCAATAACAGCAGCAGCACTGGCAGCACAGCTTTCGCGTTTGGGGTGCACCTTGAGGAATTCCGCATGCGTACCCTTCCATCGGAGGAATCTAAAGATTTAAGCGCTTGCACAGCACATGGTCAGCAGCAACGAAGTCAAGAAACTGTGGCAACATCGCCCCACCGGGTTACTGAGGCTGCTGGGGAGTCACTCCCAAACAGCGGCACCAGTAGAAACTACGGCTTCAACAGCCAAGGCAGCGTCTGTAGTGAATTCGACATTAAGGGGTGTTCTATGTACACCCAGAACGAGCTGTTGCTCCTGGCACCTCACACTCGCACTGTGGTAGAGAACGTAGAGAGGCTCTGCGCAGTGCGTGCGGAGCAGCAGCAGCAAGACGGCCATCCAAAATCACAGCAAGCAGAGGAAGACCAGCTACCGCCGGGACAGAATTGCCAGATGCGGCTGGACTGTCGCCTGCCTGTAAGCGCCAGGTCTCTTCTCTCTCCCTTAGGGATACACGGCTTTCTTAGAAAGAACGCGGTGATCGAGTGTCCCAAGGGGAATGGTGGAAGGGGAAGCTCAAGCGAGGCCTTGCGGCAAGGTGGTAGTCGCTCTGAAAGTGACTCCGCCGTCCTATATGTCAATGAAACAACTCCAGCTGCAGGTCCTGCTTATGTTGCTTCAGTTGAGTCTGACTGCCTCGAAGTGACATTTAGCCCAGGAGTCTTACGCGGCCTCCGATGGCTGACAGCGAACCTTGAGATGCATAGCAAAGGAGTGGACGCGGCAGAAGCAATCCTTAGCCTCGTCAGGCCCTTTGTGCCCTCTTGCACAGGTGTGTTATCGAGCATGCAAAGCAGGTGCTAACAGGAGTAGGTGTTTCATTAGCGGAATGAAAGAACTTTGAATCAAGCTTTGTGTCATCTGCGTGTCCCACTGGTGTGTTTCAGTTAAAGGGAACCCGAGGATTTGGTGGCGCTTCGCAATTCGTGCAATTTGCCGCCTGCAGCGCAACGGGTGCAGCAGCGTCTATACGAACAGTAGTAACTTCGCCATTGGCGCACAGCTTGGCATAACTGGGGATGGGTTGGCTGCAGAGGAGAGTCTTAAACTACGCCTCTGCACTGAGAAAGCCGTGACTTACCGTCGGCTGCGACTGCTGCAGCTGCAAGCCATGCTGACGGAGCGGCAACTTGACCAACTTCTTCGCCTTAGAGACTCGATCCCGTTGCCGCAGTTGCTGCAATCACATGCAGCTGCAAGGCAAGACTTCATGGACCAACGGTCAAAGGCACCCGGGGCAGAAACTACCAAAATGTGGGGACGTTGGTTCTCCATATGGAGAAAAAGCCCGTTGAAGCAGGGGTGTACGACGGGAGTGAATACAGCAACTGGGGAATGCAATGCACCAGATGATGCTGAGCTAAGGAACAGCTACTTTCCCCGCCCCCCTTTACCCCCACTGCCGCTGCACAGTCTCTTGGATCAGCACCGGATGGAGCGACAAACGCACGAGAAATCGGGTCAGCAGACACCACAGAAGGGGACGCAGCAGCAGCAGGGGCAACATGAACAGCAACAAACGTGTCCAGAAGAGGAAGCATGTTTAAGTGGCTTCGATGACTTCTTCGATGCCCGTTCTCAGGTAAGGTGTACCATTCTTATGACATCGACTCTGTTGCACAGTTGATGCCCGTGTTGAAGGGGGGGTTTCAGCGTGAAAGGCTTCGTTTTTGCTCGCCATCTGTAGTGGTTCGTAGGTGTTGTTAGTGCCGAAGGTTTTGGCTGCTGCTTTTGCTGCTTATATTTGTTCCTTCAGCCCGCCACTGCGCGCCTCAGTGGCAACTTGAGGCTTCATGTAGGGCCTGGAGAAGACTCTACGCCTGGGCTGATGCTTGCGGCTTCGAAGGAAACTCAGCAACACATGCAAGCATATGAAGGGACAACCGAAGCAGAAGAGCCATTTCCTCCATATTTGGAAAACCGTGCGTTGGGGGGTGTGTGCACTGGTGAAGGAGCATCACAGGAGGGCAATGGGAGTTCAGCAATGGAATTCGCACCTGCTGCAGTAGCTCCAGGCGCCACAAAAAGCAACAGCGAGAGCACCGTACGAAGAGAGGACGATTTGTCTGACAGCGAGGACACCTTTTACGACTGCTTGGATTTTCAACCCCCCGGGCCCACATCACTGGAGTCTTGTGCCGGTGTTGCACTAGGGGCAACTTCGACGACCTCCCGAACTTCACTTGACAGGATTCAGAGCCCAGTTAATCTCCCCGCTACTTCGAAGCAAATCGCGTACACGATGGAAGTCTCTGTGTTGGTGCGGTCCGCCTCTATCGCGTGCCGTTTGGATAAGCTGAAGTCTTCACAGGCTGAATCCGCGCCTGAAAGGCGGTGCTCCTTCCTGAAACAGAAGCAAGGAAGCCAGAAGGCAGTGGGTAGTGTTGTTTTGTGTTCTATAGGTGCTGTCCGTGTGAATGGTACTATTGGCAACGAGAGGTTTGAAGGCGGCGCATCCATAGACCGCCTGGACATCAGTTTCAACGGGGGGGGATTTCAAGATAAAGAAAAGTTGGTTTTTATGGACCGTGAAACCGGGAATGAGCCACTCATTTCCTTTCACATTTCGCAAAACATGGTCAGTCCACCGTCTGCGCCCATCGTGGATGACAGCAGCGGCTGTAGCCAAGAGGCGGAACCTAGTTCAGGTATCAGGAACGTAGGAGGCAGCGGCGGCTCCGAACAATCCAGTACTTTTTTGTCGCTGAAGTTGCGTCGAGTGATTTGCATTCTGGACCCTCATGCACTGAAGGAGACTGCAATTATGAAAAGAGAATTCAGTAGTGCGGCTGCTGGTGCAGAACTAGTTGCGACTGAGGCNTCATACTGACCGTACTGGGGTTGGACCGACAGCATATATGGATTTGCATCGGCGGTTGCTGCGCCTCTCTGCTAAGCGACAGCAGCAGCTCCGTGACGGAGCATCGCTGCGCTACATAGTTTCTGTGGAGGCTCCAACTGTTATTCTCCCTGCGTCAGAGGGGCAGGCGATTCTATGCCATCTGGGAGAACTGCGAGTAAGCTACATGGATCGTTCGTTCGTTCCATTCCCTCGACAGTGCGGGTTTTCATCATGCGCTGTATGCTGCCAGGCTGCTGTTTCTGCTTTCATGCTATGACTGAGACACTTGTCGCATTTTGCACTGTTCGTACTATTCGGCTGCCTTGCCACATCCATTCCGATCTGCTAAGCCTGATGAATATTCTGATTCTGCCCTGCGGCATCTTCTCAGTATTGCACAGTCCGTGGGAGCTGTCAACCACAACGGTCTTTGGTTTCCTGTGACATGCGTGTATGCGGTACAGGTTTGCAGTGCTCATCTGGAGGAGGCACTACTGCTCTGCACACATCGGGCAGAAGTTGAAAAATCCCAAGGCTTCAGATTTGCTGACACCGCCTTTCAGAACGAGTACACCCGCATTTTCAGGGCAAGAGGATCGCCTGCAGCGCCACCTGCTGCAGCAGGAGCTGCCCGTACTGCAGCCCACGCTCGTCAGTTGCAGCGCGTTAGCCTTCGCACTCACCATGGCTTGTTGCTCAGAGATTACCGCGTACTCCTTCACACCGACCTCGAGCAGCTTAAAAGGAAGTTGGCGTCACCTCAATCTAGNTGGACACTGGGAAGACAGGCGCCATTTGAAGCCGATGTTTCATCCGCAGGAACAGACGACCGGTTCCACCACTTGCAGCAAGGAAATGCAATATGGAGAAAACGCAGGCAGCAATCTCAGAGATACTGAACCACTCCCTACCGCGTGGGGCGTTTGTAACGTCGTGCATCCCGTCCTTCTCCCCTCAGAGCTTGCGGCAGCAGTTGAGGTGGAGCATATTGACATGCTTGCTCCAAGATTGGTTTTTCCGCCTAGTAAACTGAGGCAGCAGACACGACATTCACCGCGCGAGTTTCGGACAGCTTCCTTCAAGTTCCACCATTCTCAGCCAAGTGCAGGCAAAGGTGCAAAGCTTGGCGCAGGTCAGCAAGAAGTATCGCACAGCTTGCCGCAGCCGAAGCAATATCAGCATCAGGAACAGGAGGAATTAAACGCACATGATCCTCAGGAGCAACGACCCTGCGAAGTACAGATATACGTGAACGGCAAATGTAAGGGGATAATGGCATCTCTAAGTCGGCGAAGCTGCGCTGCCCTGCTAAGGTGAGGGAAATGCCTCATACCGTGCATTGTGGATACCCACGCTACGGAAGTATTGCTGCTGCTTGCTAGTAGTTCTGCAAAATGATGTATTCTGGCCAGTGCGTTCATTGGCTAGTTTCTGCTCAGTCGTTTGTGTGGTCCGCAGCTCCTTCGAATCCCTCAAGACTGCCCTCTCAGGCAACGGAGTTACTGCCGTCTCCCCGGGATGCTCGAGCTTTGGGAGTGCTGTCAAAGTCTCTAGCACGTGTGCAGAAGGGTCGAGTGGCTGGAACGATGGTTGTAACAGTCGCAAGGCGCGTGAGGTGGATGAAGTCTCCAACAGTATTCCGGTGTACATTGATGCCTCCCTTGAGTGGGAGAAGCTAGGCATTGATTTGCACTCCCTTGAAGACAGCACAGATGTGCAGAGACGCGTAGATGGGCAGAATGANTGCAGGCTACGGATGTGTCTGCACACTTCAGTAATAGGGGCTGCGGGACTGCGTGCCGACTGGAGATGAAGCAGTTGCTTCTGGAGCAGCCATCACTCCCAGCGGAAAGCATCAATCGATACATCGTTTGTGTTCCTCCTTTAAATCGCTCATCTGCTACTGAAGGTGCCGCGGCAGATTTTTCTGGAGGGCCGGGCGTACAGCTGGCCTTCACTAGCGGAACCTGCACCACATCTGCACCTGGCGCTGCCCCCACCACTGTCTCTGTGCACGTTCTGCGGCCGATGACCCTCAACTTTCGCCCAACTGCTCTCACTTGGGTTGTGAACTTCTTGAAAGCGCCATTTGGGAGCTGCGTCCGCACGAGAAATGCTGGCTCCGATGGTGAAAACAACAGCACCTACTATGAAACCCGTATGCAACACAACAAGAACAATGGGTGTGCGCAGCAGTTCGAGGTTGAAGTGGAGGCCGCTTTGAAATCCTCCGAGGGACTTGGTTCCTCGCCGGAAGACGGTGCACCTAAGCCCCCACACGTGGGAGAAGTAGCCGCAGAGTTAGCGGATTCATGGCCCCAGGGTGACCCAGTTCTGCGAGGGATCCGTGTACAGTTCCAAAGAGTGAATATCCTTTGGTGTACCCGTGGCAGTGATAAACCTCTCGCTACGGCATCTTTGTCGGCAGCTTCCGTCGGCCTCGATCTTGGCCGTCATTCGACCAAGATTACAGGCAGCATAAGGGACTTGACATTGCACTTCGTCGTCCCCAGTCTCATTTCCGCAGAGACTGCCGTCCACAGTNGCCTTCATGCCGAATCAATTCCCCAGGACAGTGATACTGCAGACCACAGAGATTATCGGGCTGGTTCCTGGCAAGAGCTACGCCTTGAGCCTTTCACTAAACTCGGTGCATCCATTGTCACCCCAGTTCTCTGGGATCAGCTCTGATCTGAAGGTAGATGTGGGTGAGTGCCGCGTTGTTTATATACATCCCAAGTTTTGGAGGCTCTTTAGTTGGATTATCGATGACTTTGTCGGCACTCTGACTTCTCAGCCGTCTGTAGTCTTGCCTCCACAAGACACGAGGGTGGGGAACATATCTGGTTCTCAGGAAGCTCCGCCGAAGCTCATTGAACGCTCGCCTTCGCTGGAGGATATAGCAGCCCGTGCCGTTCTACAGTCAGATGCAGCAGGGGAAATGCCTGCTTCTGCCCGTGCATTGCACAGCGGGGTGCGGGAATGCACGGATGAAGGCCTGACTAGCGGGTTCGATAAGAAACTGCCTCTCATAGTTCCCAACGAAGGACTCCGGCGGATTTTCTTGCTGGCTGATGCCGGGCGCTCAGTTCTAGGCCTTCCGCCGCTGTTTAAAGAGAGCCAGGAGGGCGCTGGCGTTAGCGGTGGTGGCGACACCAAGTTGCACCGTCTTGTGCTGCCTCAAGCTCTTCCCTTCAGTGCGTTTCACTACGAAATTCAGATTACATCTCCTCGCCTGCTCTTGCCGGCTACCTGCAGGCCAAACACCGGAGTCATTCTGTGGCCACCCGCCTTTTGCGATGGTGGAGATTTAAACAGGGACCACGTGGCTTGTGGTGCCCGCTACAGCACGACGAGCCCAGCTATCGACCGAGACGTCGGTGCGTGCAAGCGCACAAATTATCCAGCAGGTTCAGAGAGCTCAAGTGTTCGTGAGGTTGTATGTCTCCTAGACAACTTCAAAGTATCCAACAGTTGGAATCTCAGTAGGGAGCATGGGGTTGTAGAGAGTATCAACGTCACGTTTAAGGGCGCAAAGGGCTTTGCCAAGCTTGGATTTCCACAGGATTTCAACAATTTGTGCAGTAGAATGGCAGCAGGACCAGCAGATCCACGTTGTAGAGCGGACTCCGAAGCCTCATATCTGGGGGGTACATGCCGTCGTTGCGCTCGTCGAGTTCCTTGTTGCCGTCGTTCGTCAATTGGAGAGTCGCGCATTTCATGCAAGTCTCCTGCAGCCGCCACCTCAGGAGATTCAGAAGCAACGGCTGCTCCCGAGTATCCTGGAAGATACCTATTTGGCAGTGTTGACCTAGTTATTCGCATGTTGCGGCCACTTTTGCTGCGGTGCTCGTCCCGTTGGCTGCGAGTGGAGGCTGGATTGTTACCTCTGGCTCTTGACGTACAGACTCTGGGGCTGCTATTCGACATCGTGGAGAATAACATTACAGCCAACGATCCGGACACTGTAATAGAAAATACGGAAAAGCCGCCACCGTCCTGCACTGAGCGAAGAGCAGAGGGGTTCTTGGCTTCAAAAAGAGATGCACGTTTTTCTGTGAGTTCGTCAGCTTCACAAGACGTTTCTGGAGCTGCAACACCCAGCTTTCAGGAACGCCTAAGTGAGCTTGCCCAGAAGTTGCTGGGAAACCACATCCTACAAGGCCTATTGGAGCCGCAGGTCGACTTCATCGAGCTCCTGGAGGAATGGGGACGCGAAACGCTTCTCCTCGAACTTGTTATTGAAGGTTTACATCTGGCTGTTCGTGAACAGCCGCTGAAGAACCAGGTTCTCATGTTGCGGGAGCAGTGCGGTGCCTTAAGGCGCTGCATCCGTGTTCTGGAATGCCGTCAAGGGTTGCGGAAAAATCAGAGCAAGATTAGCCGGCTTTCAGCACAGGAAGGTGAAAGCCAGAGGCGATCAGTAGATCGGCTCAGCGAGGTTTCCATTCCGCAGCAAACGCCTTTCCTACTTTTTCACGCAACGCGCTTAAGGGTGAGGTCTGCCACTGTATATCCGGTATCTAAATCCCATTATTACGCAGCCGATGGTGCACAAGAAGATGAATCTTCAGTTTTATTGGAAATACTCTTTTGGACGTTGCTTACGAACAGCATCGCTGCTGACTATTCTTCGGTTGGCGCCTAAAACTGAATAATTGTGCTGGTGAGCTTTGGTGTGCTTTTGACTGTGCTTTCTCCAGGCACAACTACGGTCGCTTCGACTGCAACCAGAACAAGCCGAGCAGGTGGGCTTGGTCTTGTCAACTGCCGCCTTAGCTCCTCCTTGGACTTCCTTCGTAAATTTTGGCGAAGAACAGAAAACCGTGGGCAAGACGGGAAATCCGTCCTTAATATCTCCAGTTACTGGGACATTTATGGGAATGAGAGTCGGATCCACTACCGTATTCTCCCCAGAGCTCGTGCCCCCTTTTTCAGTGGTTTTCACGGATAGCACGTGCCCAGTGGGTCTCCTGCAGCAACAGCTGGACCCGATTGCAGATGTCCTTCGCCAAGCGGAAAGCGATGCCGTTGCAGCGGCAATTTCCATTGCCAGAATTGACGAAAAATTAGCTGCGCAATCAGGCCTCGCGACCAACTCAGATCAAAAAGATGAGGATCAGTTGAAGCAGTCAGATAAGCAGCTGTCCGGCAGCTCAGCACAGCCACAGTGCCAGGAGGAGCACCTTCTAGTGGCTCCCTTTGCCGCTGCTTGGGTTGAGCCCTTGCAGCTGCAGAGCCAGACGCAGGACTCATCGGGCGACGAACATGAATTGACGTCCCGCGACCCCGTAGCCGGTAGTTCGGCTGATGTTGCAAACAGCGGGCGGTTCCCTTTGCCGAGGTCAGGCACATTTACTTTGCGGTCAAACTCCGCAGAGGCGACTTCAGCTTCACCTTTCGAAGTGCCAGCCTGCAGCAGGGACTATGAAGTTGTTTTTCGCTGCTGCCAAAAGACTCGGCAGCAACACAGAATGATGAAACCAACAGTTCCTGCGCATTTGGTTCCGCACCCATCAGATTTGGCGCTCACCTACAAATCAGCATCGGCAGTTCCAGTTATACCGTTGAGTGAAGGGTGCGTGCTTACCCTTTTAAAGCAGAACTACGGGACGCCTGAAGAGAAGATGCAGGTTCTTCGACGTCTGTTGGGGCGCCGCCATCACCGGCGGAAGCAGAAGCGCATAACAGTGTCATCTAGTAAACCCCGATGTGTGTTGGATTTGCCCCTTCTATCTCGCATTAGCACTTTTCTGTCCAACAACGAAGCAACCAGCGTGGATGCGTATGCAGCAACAGACACATCGGGTGATGAAACGACTGCAGTGTTGTCCCATAGGGAGAGCTGGCAAGGTATGAGGTGGATCAGCAACGTGACAGCCCCCCTTAGCCGTTCAGGGCATTCCCGCGTAAGAGAAATTCCGCGCAAGAGGACCCGCAGTCCTGGGGACAGTGAGAGGAATCCTAACCAGGGTCCAGCCGCGTGTTTGTCGCAGAGCGAGTTTACGGGGGACCACAGCTCGAAGCAAGGTAGCAACAGCGATTCAGAACTGAGCAGCACAAGCAGCAACGTAGGCAAAGCTACTAGCCAGAAGGCGATGTCAGGTTCTGCGACGCTCTTAGCAGAATCCGAGCTTACTCAATTTGGCAGCAGAGCGTTTGCCCTCTGCCGTTCCTCCTTTGATTCAGCCAAACGTTTTGCGGCAGGGCTTAGCAACCGATGCAGCAGCGGAACGCCGGTGGATCCATATGCAGGGGGTTCTGCTACTGATGGCACTAGCAATGCAAGTGACTCCGAGACCACTAACAAAAACATCCAGAACAACAATGTTGGTAGCAAGCATCGGATTTCCCGCCACAGTGCGTGTTCCCCAAGGGAAGCTGTTGCGGTGGCAACTCCCCGGAGGCAAGAGCTCCCGCCCTTGCAACTGAATACTATGGAGATAGCGGTACATTTATCTGAGGCGTCAGTGCTGCTGCCTGTGAACAGCAAATGCTGTGAGACCAGCTCCGTGCTGCTTCATGGATCAGTCAATGTGTGCCGAAGGGCGGATGATATTCGGGATCCCATAGAGCCTCACGGCACATCCAAAGACGCAGAATCAGCAGCCGGCGCATATGAGCATATTCAAACCTGTGACAGTAAAGGCAATAGACAGTCGTTTTGGGTATGCGGAAGTTCGAGCGCCACCTCTGCTGCTGAGGAAGAAAAAGCACCGAAAGAGATGCTGCAGCAAGAAGAAGCTTTCTGGCAGGGTACAACTAAATTCCTCGACAACCTTCCGGACAGATTTTGCCCAGGAGTGCGAGGTGTCGATATTTCGTTACAAAAGGCAGCAGTCACCTGTCTACGCAACAGCATACCGTTACACCAGCTGGGCGCCAATGCAGTTGACGTTTCAAAACTCGGGGGAAACTTAGACTTACGTAGTTCCAGACGTATGCGGTGGAGTACCCGCGGCGGCAAATGTGGTGGCTCTCCAGACCGACAAGCGACGCAACCGAACCCAGAAGAGTTGGGGAGTAAATGTTTGATGCCTGGCGAGCTTAGATGTGCTGAGGGAGAGGTGGGGATAGAACCTCATATGAGGTGCGTGCGGCGTGCTGCTCTGTCTGGGCACGATACTTCAGCTGCAAACACTTTTCCTCTCAGTGCCCCCGTCAAAAACCAGGCCAACTCCCACCCCAACGACAAGCTCTCTGGAACCGATGCACACCATGACGAGAGTGTACAGCCAGCGGCCAGCGTTACAGAAGTTCACAACAATGCAAGGAGCATTTGCAGTGGCTTGAAGGCACAAATAAGTCACGTTTTTATCCCGCCTGCCGCCCGTTGCCGTAGGGACGAAAGCGGCGTCGCACAAAGTGTAACAGATGCAGCTCAAGGCGGCATTGGCGATGCTTCTTGTAACAGCTGTGAGGTCCAGCACCATCAAAACGGGGGAAGCAGCCATGAGAGGTGCTGCTGCTGCCTTACGAATGTAGGGATCTCTACCGGCGTTGGAGTGGGTGAAGGAACTTTCGGTCTCGTATGCGACTGCTGCTGCCACCATCCACAGGAGTACACAGCTCTTCAAGTCTGCGCATGTGAATTGGAGCTTTCGTATCTGGATTGCCTCTTAATCTGCCGATGCGCGTCTGAACAGACAATGCAACTGGAACAGCAGCAACAGTGCCAACAAGCGCAGTTGGCTGCGGTGCAGCGACTTCTCCATCGCCGCGCGGTTTTGGAGCAGCATCTTTCTATGGAGCATAGGCTCCTTCAGGGGCAGAGCATGGAAGATGACGACCAGACACCGGCTTCACAAGCATCGTTTTCCGTGTCGTTTCCATGTTCCATATCTCCAGAGATTCATCGACGTACCCATAGGAGATTAGCATCTCCTACCGCAGCAGCTGCTTCTCCTGCGCGACAGGGAAAGCAATTTATTTCGACGTATCCCCGCCAGCGCCACTTCTCTGCACGTATGCCGCTACTGCGAGTGACCCTCCTTAACGATCACTTAGACTGTCTTCAAGCGCCTCTTCTCCAGTTGCTCGTGCTGAACTGCCGGCTTTCTCAGGCCTGCTCGCTCTTGCCTCCTCATGCTATGGATAGTCCACGTTTGTGCCCACAGGAGCAGCCACAAAAGCCCCAGGTCTCTTCTGTAAGTCTACTAAGTGCATCATTGCGGCTGTGGGCATTCAATCCTTTTGCTGTCGCATTCGAGCCTGTAGTGGAGTCCCTCCCTCTATTGCTAGTAATACGGGAAGCGCCATACTCATTGATGCGGTCCTCGTATAGCTCATGCTGCGACGACGATTCTTTGGCATTAAGCGTAGGACAAAGTGTATGCAGAGGCAGGCGAAAGCGCATGACTCCGCGGCCACCATTGCATTCGTTCTCCCATGGGAGTGGCCGGGAAACGTTGATGGGGACGGCTTCGTCGAGCCCAGCTCTCACGCCACGTCAGCAGATGAGCAGCAGTAACAACAACCACAGCAGTATAAGCAGCACTGAAAAAGATTCAGGGAGATCTGTGGCCTCACTTCTCTCCCGTTTGCCGGAGGATGCGGCTTCACGAGGGGTTCGTGCCTTCGAAAACGAGCAACAGCAAGCCTTCAGCAGCAGCGGCCTTGCTGCTACTGCTCCGCTGAGAAAGGAACTGTCGCTGCGCGGGCGCAACTCAGAAGAAGTTAGCGTGAGCAGCACGCAGATACAAGGAAGCCGAGAACAATTTGTGCATTTAGGAGTCGAGGGGGGCTCGGATGCACCTAACCCCGTTGGGTATGCATCCACAACGGAGGTGGCCTCCTCTCCACGGCGGTACTTGGGAATTTTGTTGTCATCGACGGATGGAAGCAGCATAGAGGCAAACTTATCTCCTTTGCTGTTGCAGTCAGTACTAGGGAGCCTTTGCAAATGGCACTGCGACTTTACTCACCACTTGCAACAGCAGCAGCGACAACGGCCACGGAAGGCATGTGGCAATTCCAGTGTCTGTGAGGCAGGCGCCAGGTTGTCGCAGGTGTCCCATCAGGCGGTTTCACGTCAGTATGAGCAGAAGATGCCTCAGCACGAAGAGAAGGAGAAATGTGCACCGAATCATGTGAAGAGTCAGCTCAGAGCTGGACATGAAGAGGGAGCACCAGAAGTGCCGGGCGGGCGGAGACGAAGCCTTATTGCCGATACTCTGCTCCTACGGAGGCTTCCATCTCGTTCCTTGGATGCATCGCCTATTTGCCTTTCTCCTGCCCAGGATGGATACCCGGAAAGGCGTCACAGCTTGGGTGGCTCACTGCCTGAAGGTGTGGCTGATGGATCTTTAGACAATCAGCTACCGCAACAGGAGCAGAGGCCATTTCGGGAGGCGGCAGGCCCGAAAAGGGGCAAACTGTTCATCCCTTACCATGTTGTAAACCAGACAGGGCTGCACCTCGGAGTCCGGCTTCTACCCACACCAGCAGCGTTACGGGCGCTTGACTCGGAGGGCCTGTATGGAGGTAATGCAGTTCATGCCACTGCTGCAGGACTTCCTCCTACTCTAAGGCTGTGCAGGCAGCACAACAGAGAGGTAGGGGCGTGCGAAGAAGACGGCAGCAGCAGCGATAGCAGTAGCAACGCCAGTGAAGCAGAAGGTGGCCGCGCTTTAGCAAGCGTCCCCATTCACTGGGACTTTGGATCGACTTTACAGACAGTGGCTCGAGGACCTCATGGAGCCGCTAGCGCCACAACAAGTGCAAGCAATAGAGGGACATTCTCCTGCCCTTCTTCCCCTCCCACTTCCCGAGAGGAAAAGTCAATCCACCTCGAGCCTAGGGGAGATTCTTCCGGCTGGGATTGGCTCCTTCCTTCGGAGGAAAGGGCGCTGACGCAGATGAGGGTATCTATAGGGACAGCTTCGACTGCTCATGTTACACTCCAGCTAGCCAAACGGACACTCGGAGGGATCGCTACAGAACAGCCTTTGCTCAAGAATACTGTCCCTATATCAGCTCTGCAGCCCGAGAATTGGAGCACGGACGGACCTGACGTACATGGAGAGGGTTCCTACAGGCGATGGAGGCTGCTTATGCCAGTACCACTCGATCGAGTTGGAGTGTACATCCAGCCTCTAACTGACGTGGAGGCGACTACACCTACTGGATCAGCCGTAACCACAGACATACAGAAGCAAACAGCTCCTTTTGTTGTTTGTCGGCTTGTTGCCGATGCAGGGACGAAGCAACTCTTGGTGCAGTCACAGGTAGTTCTGCGCAGCAACTGCAGCGTGCCACTTCAAGTTCTGCTGCTTCCTCCTCTTGAGGCCGCTAGCCTCGGACAGCAGGCGAAGGACCACCGACGCCGCGCGGACAGCGAAGAGGCTGAGCAGCTAGCTGACTTTCATTTAAAGCCAGGGGAAACATCGGCTGTTCCTGTAGATTGTAAGTCCATGCATCATGCTCTCCAAACTCGCCGGTGACAGAAGCACAAGTCAGCTGCGGGGAGAAAGAGTACCTGCACGCGGTTGACGTCCTCTTACAATTTTCCAGTGTGTGTGCCCTTGCGTTTTCCCCCCAGTTTGTTTCACAGCAAGGCTACGCGTTCGGCCTGTGCAGGCTGGCAAGACATACAGCTGGTCCAGGGACCTAAGCCTTGGCATGCTATGGCAGGTCGTCGACGGGACAGAGCAACAGAAGCCCTCTGGAAGCGGGGCATCTGGGGAAGCAGGGCGAGGTGCCTTCAAACAAAGCTTTCCCAAGACAGACGTGCTGCGCTGCTGCCCACTCATTGGCAGCAGTGTCAACAAGAGTTGCCTGGCAAGGAACCCCGTGCCAGACCACGATGAAGCTCCAAAAGAACACAGAGGGGTAGACAGCAAGAAGATGCGGGAGCCTGACTACCACATCGTCGTCCTGTATAGGTTTGAACGGCTAGTCCACTCGTCCTTTTCTTGTGTACAGTTCAAAGTGACGCTTGAAGCTCCCTTACGAATTTCAAGTAATATCCCCTTCCCTGTCAGGTGCGAAATCACACCTTCCCACTTTTCCTTCGTGAGTCCTGTACTCATAGGTGAAGAGTATACCCTCCTGAAATGTTGAAAGTTTTGGATTGTCCGAAGGAGCATGCATCATATACCTTATTTGGATACGTTTGCGATTTTTATAGGTATCGTATTAATTGTCCGCTGGTCCTGAGGCCGGGGGAAGATCCACCAGGAGATTCGGAGGGTTTGATTCAACTAAACGAGTGGCAGCAAGTGCATTCTTTTCCTCTAGCAGGTACCGTTGGCCCCCTCAGTACACCAGTTGTTCAGTAGCGAGGGTGTTTCTAGGGACTATTCCGCCGGGGAGGGGAGGGGACTTGTTAAGGACCCCTTAGTGTTGGAGGATATGGAACTTTTCGTTCATTCTCACCGTTTCCGGCTATGGTCTCCTAGTTCCTTTGTACTTGCTGCACGAACACCCATCTCCCCTATACAAATCTGGGCTATCTAAGTTGTGCCTCACCAACGTATGGTGGTCTTCAGGAGTGGCCTTCCTTTCCATCTCGCTAACAGAAGGCCGATGGTCAAAACGAACTCAAGTCCACCCGCGCCCCCTACAGAAGAGAACTCCTCCACCAACCGCTCCGAAAGCAGCCGTTGCCGGAGCCTCGGGTGTTTTGTCGACTACCGCGGGGGGAGGTCAGACCCCAGCGGACTGCGCCGCGGGCTGCTCGAGTGGGGCTGGGAAACAAGAATCTTCGACGGAGAGCGTAACAGGAGAAACCATCGTGGAGGTGAGTCATCTTGCCCAGTAACTCCTGTGAGGTGTTACACTGGATTAAACATCGGTGGTTATTTCTAAGGTGCATTTCTTTCTATTGCTACTGCAGGTTGAGTGCTTCGACAGCAAATATCGCTCTGCAAAGGTGTGGGTGATCTTTTGTGACTCCGATGGAGGCTCACCCTGTTTGCTGCTGCATTCTCCTGTATGGCTGGTGTCGCACGTAGAGTGGGCACTACAGAAGCAACGGCCGGAGCAGCCACAGCCGCACAGTCTGGATAGCCCTGCAGCAGTACAGACGAAAGGGCTGCCTACTGTTGAATACAGCGTCATCCGTCGCAGTAGTCGGGCAGAGCTAGGGTGGGCAATGCAGGCAGTTTCAGCAGCTGCTGCGGCAGTCGACCTCAACAGAGAAACAGACCCGCAAAAGCCCTCTCAGATTCCGAACTTCACATGTCGTAGAGGCCTTCGGAAGGACTGCACCGGAGACATTCGACTACTCGACTTTAGCGTAAGTTAAAATATCTCTCTCGCATGATGAGACTGGTAGCGTTCTCTTGGGGGCTGTACTTTTAGACCTGTAGTCGACGCAACTCCGGTCTAAATGGTGGTGAGGCGGCTGCAGAATTGCACTGAAGCATAGCTGGGTGTTTCTACGTGTGCTGCTGGTAGTGTGTTTATTGAGGGAAGCCTTTTGGTGGGGTTCTAGGAGTTCGTTTGTCATGGTTCCATTTGCTCTGCAATCGATTCTATTTCTGTGTCATCTAGACATCATCTATTCGCGTGGAAACCGATGGGATTGGTTGCTCCGAATTTTTGGACATGTGGGGAGACTTCCCCAGGAGGCTAAGCGTCTCAGACTCATGCACCAAAGACCTCACTGCAGGTTCCAGAAGCAAAGCAACACCCCGCTGCTGCAACAGATCGGGGCGAACCAGCGACAACCCTGCCACTCCGAGCGAAGAAGGGCCTTCACTCGAGAATGCAGTCGGGGGNTTTGCCCCTTTTGCGTCCTGTTTTGTTGCTGACGCTTTCCCCTGTATACACTATAACTAGTCAATGTCTTTTTCCCATCAGAGTACGGCAAGCCCGGCCAGCCTGTCACTGCAATGGCGAAAGAAGCGTTGACACCGGAATCGTTGACTTCACGTTGCAGATACAACCGCATCACACCGAGGCCTTGGTTTGGCAGTTTAAGGACGGCAGTCGATCTCTACAGATACAGGGGTGGGGGTCTTTGAAGCGTGTCTTAATTGCATCCACAGTTGCCCATAGCTGTTGGCCATTTGACAGTGTAGCACCACCAGGGAATTAGTTATGGCAGGCCGTAGATTTGTTTGTACAAGACTTGTGTAGATCTTCCTGTGGTGACTAAGGCCATGCGCATGTTCACTGCGTTTTGTTGTACGCGGAGACGGTGCGTAGTGTGCTCTTTTCCGGCATATGCTTGCCGTGCCTATAGGTTGATGCCCACTTTGTGCTGGCTTCAAGGGGGCTGCAAATGCTGCGTCTCCACCTCTCGTGCTAGTGAGTCTCCGGAAACCGTATGGAGCGCATGGTCAGGCTACTCCCCGTTGTGCTTACCTGGGAATGAGTGGTGTATTCGCCTACCATCTGCACCGTCGTATTCGTCGAGAACTATACTGAAGACACATGGAACCCACGGAAACAGTCCCGCCCGGTCTGACGCCCCGCTGCAATGCGCTGATTGCGAAATTGAGGATCCAGAAGGACGACAGGAGCGCACCCGACAAGAAGAACTACTTCCGATACCAACAGTAGAACCACAAGAGCTTTTAGGTGCCATATTGCGTCGGGGAGTCTCTGTACAGAACAACGGAAATCATCCCACTACGAAGCGGAGCCTCCCAGAACGGCTTACAAAGCCAGCTTTCTCAGCTTCGGGGTGCTCGGCCTTGCGCCTAGAGGCAGCAGAAGGTCCAGCTAACACTGTCAACTTGACAGTCCAAGTGGAAACCTTTGACATGAGGGACACTGTTTCAGTCTGCAACGACACGCCGTTACCTTTATTGCTCCGCCAGTGTTTCCACAGTGACACTCAAGAGGGCAAGGGAGCAGATTCCTCGAGCTGCCAAGGACGCACAGGGGCTCAGAAACTTGGCTTGACCGAAGCTGCGGCCTTCGGCGTGGACTCCGTTGCCACCGCTGTTGCGGAGCTGTGGGAAGCAGCCAAGCAGGGCGGAGGATTGCAGCAGCACCAGCTGAGCAGTGACGTCGGGGATAGCTTTGGTCATCATGATCCTAGCAATGTGGGAGGACATAGTAGGCCGACGCACCTCCTCAGCATGCTGTTGGAGGCTCAGCAGAGTGCAGAACAGCAAAAGAAAACCAAAGTGCCAACTGGGGCGACCCCCTTCCATTCTTCCGAGGCAGTTTACATTTCCGCGGTTCCGCAGGAGGAAGGCACTCATATTCTTTTGGACCGGTTGGTTCGTGTTGCCAACGCCGCTGCTGCTCAAAGTNTTGTTGCTGGTGTAGTTTTGAGTCTGCTGTGTCGCGGGAGTTGTGCACAATGCATGAAAAGGCGATGGAAGGGACTGTGAGTGGCAAGGGTGACGAAGCACCGTCGAACCTGTCGTTTCTACCACAGCTTGTGCTTCCCGGTGAGACTGTACTGTTTACTTGGGATGACTACCGCTGCTTACCTTGTATTGAGCTTACTTATTTTCCATGGTTGGAGCAACAAAATGAGGGGAAAAGTTTGGCGTCTACGAAGGAACCACTTACCAACAGCCGGGGCAGTGCAGTTTCACATGCAACGGAATATCCGTTCGATAAGCCATTTGTTGTTTGCATCCCTCTCCGTCCGGGTGTGCAGGGAGTCGTGCCACTCCCGCCGTTACCCTCTTTCTGTTGGCTACTATTCAGAGTCTTTCGCCATGCTGGAAGACTGCTTCTGCAGATCGCCCCCGCGGGGGATATATTGGGGATAACACATTTGCCTCCTCACGGTGCAGTCGAACGAAACCAGCAAGGTGCTATACGTCAGCTAAACAATGAGAGTTCTCATACGTCTGTTTTGTTAAAATCTACAAATAGACCAACAGGCAGCGCCATGTCACCTTGGGCTGAAGCGGATACCGACCAAGTAACCACTTCGCGGAATGATGTGGACGTCAACTCATTACTTCTCATCCCCCGTTATTTCCAGCTGCCCATGGTGGACATGGACCTGACGGCAGGTTGTTCTCGTAGTCAAGAGTTGAGCAGTGCATGCGATGGCCGTGTTCCCCCTTGGTCATTTTCATCGATGTGCAAATTTTCTGGAACATTTGTGGGGTCATACGCTCCTGACCGAAAGGCCGAGTCTGCTGCTCCGCGAACTACTATTCCTGCCAAGGCTGACGCGGGAAACCATGATGCCGCGCAGCCTGTGCAGCCAACTCCGGATCCCCCGACGTTTGAACTTCGCATTCAGGTCCCGCGTCTGCAATTCTCCGTACTCTCGCAGGGAGCAGTTACAGATCCACTGTCTCGTCAGGTATGGATATAATTCATTCTATTGCCATGCGAGGAGGTAGAAAACTGCTGGACGGCAGCGGCCACTGTATAGCTGAATGAAAAGCCATGACCAGGAACACTATCAGTAGAGTGACCTCATTTTTAGCAGCGTCGTCTTCGCCGAAGGGTTGCATTGGGGGGCTTTTGTTCATGCATCGGAGTTCCTTCTTTAGGGACCCCGACTTCGAAATTTCCCGTGCGTGTTTCGTGAATCATGTCCACAGACCTTCCGCCTTCCCGAGGAACTGCTTCTCGTCACATTTGAAGGTCTATCTGCCGCGTACTTCTGCAGTCCGTTCCACAGCGCTGCAGCATGCAGAATACAGGAGTTGCAGGTAAGCGCGCCTAAATGGCGTGCCCGACAGAAGTATCTGGGTACCCAGGCAGGGCTTTTGTGGGCGCAGTACGTATTCCTTTTCTCACAGCGTGCTCCGGCTGGAAAGCTGCAGGTCTCCCTGAGTGCTTCCTGCCTTCACAATTGGGTGTAACGCGATGGGGAATTCTGATAAGCTGTGTCATGTTATATTCTGCTTTGCCTGCGCTCAGATAGATTCCATGCACTCCCAGGCATACTACCCTGTGCTTCTTCAAAGGGCCCCTCCCATGCCCAGCGAGGTTGGTCTTCTCAACGCATATCCTTCAACTTTAGTAATGCTGGCCGTCCTGCCTCGACAGAATACTTCCGTCGGAACATGTTTCTGCTGCTCTTCTGCAGGCCGGTTCAGCCACTGATAGCGACGTCACGCAAGTCTCTCGAATAACATGTTCCACGCTCAAGGACAAAGGAGGAGACAGCAGCAGAAGTGGGGAGCCGCTACACGCATCGGTGTCTAAATCAGAGGATGATGGCGGTGCCCTTGTTGAGTTCTTGCTGCAGCAGAGGCTGCCGTTTTATGGCAGCCGTGACGACCGAGTTGTTGTAATCGACAACTGCAGCCTGTCTCTGAAGGTTAGACATCACAATAACTGTGTGGCCGCGTTTGTCGGCTTTCAAGGTCGATGGGTACATCCACTGCACTGCTTCCCATCTTTAGTTTTCCAAATGCAATCACAGACGTCTATTCTGGAATTTCCGGCGATTAAGGACCTGCGCACAGCGCAATATGCGCTGCCATCGGAATGCCATCTCCCTTTGGAACCTGCTTGTTTTTTGTACTTTGCAGCCCGTGAGCGTCCGGACAGATTTAAAGAGCGTTTACATGGCGTCTGAGGCCTTGAGTTGCTGGCAGTCTGCCTGGGCTGCTGCCACCACATCGATGAGCATGCATAGTCCCGAAAAGAATTCTGGCTTTCCAGCGTCTCACGGGCACCAAAGAGGGCCTGAAGGAGCTCCTAGAGCAAATAATGGATCGTCAGTTTTGCGCGGAGAAGGCGTCCCGTCAGAAGATGAAGACCTAGAGTACCATTATGCCAAGCAGAGCGGCCTAGTGTGGGCGTGCAAAGGCAACAAGATTTGCCAGTCCCCTCTCTCTCTCTTCGTGTCCCACATCGCCGGCACAGGCTTGGTCGTCGTTCCTACTCGGCTAGCCGTCCGCCCATGGTTGTGCAAGCCAAAGGCGCCGTCTCTCGAGGGACAGCAACACACGTTCAGCCAGCGGCGGGAGCAGCGGTACATTTTTCGGCTTCTCACAATAGCAAGCACGTGCGTTGTGCTCTCGTTCAAGGCGGACACAGGGGGAAATAGTAGCGCGTTGCGCCGCTCGGTAGTGACTCTATCTTCCCTCGAAGACGCCCGTTTTGAAGTGGATGGACTGCATGTGACGGGCAGAAGGCTAATGGATCAGCTCAAAGAGCTTCACCAACAACAGCAGCCACATGTTCACCAGGACTGCTCTCGCCTCACGAAATTGACAAGACACCACAGGCATCCAGCTCTTGCATTGAGAGATGTCGCGAGGGTAGTTGGGCACTTTTATCAGCAACAGCTTCTATCACACCTATCCAAGTTGCTGGTGTCGGTCGATCTTCTAGGTGGGCTAGCAAGCTTTGCACACAAATATCAGCGTTTACTGACAGCCGCATTGCATTCATTCCAGTTGAAACAAGCCATGTACAGTAGGTCGTTGACTCGTTGTTTCTTCATGCTGTAAATACGCTTTCCGAGCCTCACCTCTAACGAGCGGTTCATCTTTCCGTGAACGTTTTGGCAACAGTTTGACAATTAACAGCCTGGTTGGTATGTTGTATGCGTTGCCATACAGCCGACAACTGCGCATATTTGAACATTGTTCTCTCAAGGACACATATTGACGCGTATATGGAGGCTTCATAATTTGTAGTTTGCTTGTTTTGATGCAGGAAACCCTGCTTTGTCATTTGCGCACCTCCAAGCAGGTGTGTATGCGCTCGCCAAGCAGCCAATGGCGGCTGCTGAGACAGGTGGAGACGTGTTCGAAGGGATGATGAAGGGGGCAGAAGATTTCCTGAAACACACGGGTGAGATCTTTACGCCGTTTCTTCTCAGAGGTGCCCGCTGTCCTCTGCAGTAAGAACCATGTGTTAGTGTGAGCCATCCGATATGTCTATTCTAAAGATTTCTTGGAGGTTTCGCAAGGGAAAGCTCTACAGTTTGCCTTTGCCTCAGTCACTGACCTCCTTGCCTGAGTCTGCACTGAACAAGGGCTATCCATGTGTTGCATGCACTCAACAGCGATCTCCCCACTGAATCCAGATGTGTGTTACAAAATGCTCGTCATTTTTCGACGCACCCTACGCAGCACTCAGTCAGAACGGATCCTTTCCTCTACAGGGTATGGCGTTTTCGGCGGTATCAGCCGAATGGCAGGAGTCGCCTCGGACTCTCTTGGAGCACTGGCTTGTGACGAAGTGTATGTCCACAGCAGGAAGCAACAGGGTCGACACAAGGCGCGCAACGTTGAAGAGGGACTCCAGCAGGGCGTCGAGGCCCTTGGGCGGGCTCTGGCTGGTGGCTTCACAGGTATAGAGAAACGCCCGGGGATAAGTCTCTTGTACCACAATTTGCTCATTTACGTATAACCAGAAGCTACTAAAACCGCTTTTCTCAAGGCCGTCGGGTAGCCGTCTTCATCCATGTGGTTGACTGCCCGTGCAGGCCTTGTGGAAGAACCCGTTAGAGGAGCTGCGGAAGGTGGTTTTGAGGGGCTGTTGCGCGGTGCTGGCAGGGGCATTGCGGGCTTCCTTGTAAAGCCTTTGACAGGAGTGCTTGATTTAGCTCAGAAAACCGCTGAAGCCATAAAGGTAACTCATTTTTTAGTGATCTCCACTAGCGGCAAACATCCACTAGCGGCAAACATCAGCAACTCTTCCCTCTCTCCTGACACAGTCCTTGAGTCATCATTCCGTAATAGTCGGGTCATTTGTCTCTGAAAATGGTAGGCATCGTTGCTTTGCTTCTTTTCTTTCAGGATGCCTCTCAAGTCGAAGGACACCAGCGTCCGAGGTTCCGCCTACCCCGCCTCCTGCTCGGGGATTTCCGCTTGCTGGTTGCATACGATGCTGAAGCAGCGAAGGCCAAAGCAATTTTGACAGACGCGGAAGGCCAATATTGGTGAGGAGCATACCACAGTTCATCTGCGTTGCCTCTGTGCAGTATAGGTCATTGGTTGTAAGGCTCAGCTTTGCTCGACAGGAGGGTGCTTGAGACGTCATCTTGCTTGCTTTGCTCAACCTGGCCTTGCTGAGTAGCTAATAGCGGTCNCGATTCTTTTTCACTTGGCCGTCTTCTGCGGGTCGTATTTGTGCAGGGAGAACTTGCCAGTGCTCTTTTTCGCCCTGGATCGCCGACTTCAAGCGCTTACCGTTCTCACAGCAAGCAATATTTTGTTGTTCAAATACTATTCGCGAAGCCATGCTGAGCTTCGCTTTCTTGCTCCGATCTCTTGCTTGTTGGCTGTTGGCCACTGTAGCACTCCAAACAGCAGCACCAGTAGCGGTACCTGCAGCGGCAGCAGGATTCGATCAACCAGCTCAAAGCACCGTCACGCTTTGGTACTGCAACTTCGTCAGGAGGGCGAGTCGGGAGTTTACTACCAGCAGCTTTTGTATTCGAGTGCTCGGCTGCAAGGGCACATTTCCAACTCCTTGAGACAGTTGCTGCTCCAGTGATAGGTTGTTGCTGCGTCCTACGCGTTGCTCCTGTGCCTGACAAAGGGACCTGCCTGCAGCAACAGCCCGTAGGGCTTGAAGATGCTGGATGGCCCAGCGTGCGCGGNTGCAAAGCAACCCATTTGTTTCCGCAGAGTATTTGGTTTTTTTTGCGTCCCAATTCAGACGCAAATTCCAGGACTCGTCAGGAGGTTGAGTTCTACGTATGGCCTCAAAAATATTTATTTGGGAGACAGACCAGCGAGACACACGGTCCCTGCATCTCCAAAGCCAGGCAGGATATCACAAGCGCTGTTCGTTGTTGGTTCGCCTGTTTGTAAGGTATGCGTATATGTAGGCACAGATTGTTCTGCAGTTTACTGGGTATGTGTTTGAGTGGCCTTTGGGCCTATATAAGGAATAGAACTGCTCATTATTCCCTACAAAAGGCGAAATTCTGGCACGTTAAAGCTCATGATGCATCTTCACTAAAGCGTGACGCTTCAGTTTCAAGTCATCCTGTGAGGCAGGTGCAACATTAGGCCTGACTGAACATTGGCCAAGTTGTGTCAATCTTCCAATTAGGGATACACTGATAAAAGGAGACCTGCTGAGGGGGCTTTGTACGCACATTACCTACATTACCTAGCAGGTAATGTTGACGTGCGAAGTATCAAAGGCTTGCCGAAAGCATAGGCTAGCGGACTCTGCACCGACTAAATTGTGCGCGTCCTCTGTTCATCAGATGCTTGAATATGTGGGATTCCTGCACGAGAACGACATTTTAGTCCTGCACCTCTCGTAATTCGTGTCTATATCTGGTTTCAGTCGGCAGGAACTCCTCTTCTGTGCCTGTGTCAATCGTGTGAAGACATCCTATTCAGCTGCAGTCTACTGTACTTCTACCTGGGTATAATCCAAAACAGTTCACGCTGTTTAGGCCTAGCCACCTGTTCGGTTCGGCTGAATTAAATGCATTACTGCGTTAAAAGAGGTGATATTTCCCCATATGCTTTGCGGCTTTCTATCGGCTTCGACGCAGCTTGAATTGAGAAGCAATCGGGTCACGCGGTGCCCTTCTATTGGGAAGCAGGGGAACACCATTCTGTTTTCGAGGGGAGGCAAAGCATACCCGTCGTTTGAATGTTATCAAGGAACATTTTTTGTGAATCAGAGCAGCGATACAAGGTATATTTGAAACTAGCCTCACCTTACCAGTGCCATATAGTGAAATTAGAACAGGCTCTCAAGCACGCTAAGGGGAAAAGCGCAACCTGGTGAACTCTGCGTAAAGCTTTTAACTGAGTTGCGTGGATTTCNAGCACGCTAAGGGGAAAAGCGCAACCTGGTGAACTCTGCGTAAAGCTTTTAACTGAGTTGCGTGGATTTCATGGGGAGTATTTATCACCAGTCATGAAGCAGAGGTGCCGTCGACCCAAATTTAACGTTTCGCCTATACAACGCGAGTATCGGGTTTCATGTCAATGGGAAGGTAACAGTAGATTCAATTATGCTAGTGATAAACGCTCATCACTGCGCTTTCTGCTGATCATTTGAAAGCCACAGCGCTCAAATGGTCAGCAGAAATGAAGAATATGTGATTACCGCGCACACTTTTCCGCCGTTCCCACATCTGCGTAACAGTTCTTTAGAAGTAGCGTCATCTACGACTACCAGTATTTGGACTTTTCCCACGTAAACACGCGCATGAATATAAACACTTCTGCATTGTTGTGAACATCAGCAGATGGGGGCTGAGGTAAAGATCCTAACAGCTGTTCAAGCTGCTGCGTTGGCAGCAGGGTCGTTCAGCATTTCCTAATGAAGCCAAATATCNTCCTAACAGCTGTTCAAGCTGCTGCGTTGGCAGCAGGGTCGTTCAGCATTTCCTAATGAAGCCAAATATCAGTGGGCTGATCCAGTTTTTGAGAACACGATATTGGAAGATAGTTGTCCCGAATAGCTTGAAAGTGTGTGCGCGACTCTACGAATTCCATAACTGCTGAAGAGATCATCAACTTGAAAGGCGCTGGCTATTGAGCAGGGGCGTGCAGAGAAAGCTAGGAAGACGGAGCAGGTGCGCGAAAAGCAGCAAGAAGGCTTGGTTGAAATCATCCAGGTGTTGATAAGTCACTGTAAGCGGTTTACGATGAGCTTCGGTAGCCGCGCAACGACGAAGTCCCAAGCACAAATCTCTCAAACAGTCTTAAAGATGGGCTACACAGGCAGTTCAAGCAGTACGTTGGCGCAAAAATAGCTGAGTCTAGGGTTTCCTTCACATTGAAAAACAAATCCGTAGAGTAGTCAAAGCTATCGACGATGTCACCTCCCTGCTGCAGCTGCAACGAAGTTTACATCTGCGCTGAGTTCTCAACGTCTCAGTTCAAGCTGAATTACTAAAGCACGCATCTATGGGGTGCAGGAGATGGAAGAGGGAAGCAGGTAAGATTGCAGTGAGGAAGAATATAATATTTACTACGTTGGNGCAAACTACCGCATTGCAGTCTAGCTTCTCAGGGAGGGAACCCCAATCGGCAAAATGCTCTATTGCTGCAGCACTTCGCCATCCTCGAGTTCCGAAGAACACAAAGCTCAACGGATGCAAAGAATGGGAAAGTAAACAAATGTGGGTACAATGATCCACCATGCAGACGATCGGTTGCTATGCGCTCAAGCATGCTTTGCTACAACAGTGGAGCTAAGAAATGCTGTGATGCTCGAAAAAAATACAGAGGGGCAGAGAAATATACTTGGTGGTGCTCAAGCAAGGAGACGCGCTTTTCCATTTAGACTATGGGCACATGCTTACGTTTTGTCCGCTGTTACTGCTGGACTTTACAAGTGTAGCATGGTCTGCAAGCAGCTATCAAGCGTATTGCTACTTAGCGCTGGCTGGCTGTGGAAGGCCAACTCTTCAACACAACAAGCACATCGTGTTCAGATCTTGTTTAGTCCCCTAGCGCGTGTTAAGAGAGTCACGCTCAACGGGGTGCAGCTGAGAGGAGATGACACGCTCTTAAAGCTCTGCACTAACGCTGCCTTTAGGGAACAAATTCAAACCCTTTAGGCCATCCAGCCTTCACTCCATCCGCTACCCAGAGCTGTGTCGAAGACTTGCAACAACGTCAGATCAGTTCGTAGCACACCACCACTAACACATCCTTTTTATGCTATCAATGAACGAGTAGTTTTTGTTGAAAGTAATGCCTACGAAAGGAACGGAAAGTTACGCCCGGCTGCACAACAGCACAGCCATTCGCAGGACCCGAGGGAAAAGTCGTTCAATTCCACGTATGTGCTAACAACTGGTGTGCCCTGTAGCTCGTCTATAGCGGATGTCACATTTCCAGCGAGAGGAAAAGAGAGACGAATCAGCACCGTCCATGCAAGACCAGCGCCCCCGCGGATTCGGGAAACGGTGTGGGGTGACTGGCGAGATGGCGAGAGAATACGCATGGAGCAAGCTCTGCGTAAGAGAACATACAGCATGTTAAACAGGGCAAACGACGAAGAGATATAAATAGGTGAGCGTGGAAAAAGTACGTTTGTACACCGTACGACTAAAGGCGGCCCAGGCTCCTTGGCAGCTCCAGGTTAAGGAATTTAATAAGCTACGAGCACATCTTATACGGGGGCAGCATGCACAGAACATGAGTTAGAAAATAAAGACGGAGTGTCTAAAGCTCCGTTCCAGAGGCGCAAGCGTGCATCCATGACCCCGGCCCCAGCCGCCAACATGAATATGGAAAACAACCAAAAATAGCGCTTGGTAGCGAAGCTCGTCGGGTGTCACATTCAGAACTACATTCTTTGTAAAGAAGTACAGCACGAACATCAACAATTGTACTACACCTACAAGCAGCAGCTGTGCTTCACATTCTCCTTGGCGGACTATTGTGGAGGGCCCCAATTGGGGCTGCGGCTGTTTTTAATGTCTAGCCTGGTTGAGCAATAAGTCTGTGTTTACTTATTGCGACGTCAGTAAAAAAGGAGTATTACGTAGTGGGAGCGTCAACACGACCAGNTGGCTGAACCGACCCCACCTATTGCTGCTACTATGCTGTATTCTCGATATCATGGGAACATGCATGTTGTGAAGGCACCAGGTGTCCCCCTTTGTATCCGGTGCACAGCAGCCCCATCTTTGAGCCAACTGGGGTTCGTCGGTGGCGTCGCCTGTAGTCGCCTGTCCATAATTTTTGTGGGTTTAGTTGCCCCATCGGTGCGGCTGGAAACCCCTTGAAACAGCCCCCTGCTCCCTCGCTTCCGCTCATTGGTCGTTATTTTTCACCCTGTGTTTCGCAGCCCCCAAAATGAAGCCCCAGGCTGGAGGAGTGGAGGATCCTCAGCGCACCGACGCATCACCCCATCAAACAGCTGCAGAAGCCCATGAAGAGGCATTTGACGAGCCTGATGACGAACTGGAGGAGTTCGATGAGATAGGTCGGTAGACGCACTCCCTCCCGTGCAGACACTGTGGCTAGCGAGCGTTATGTGGACGACAGAAAGAGTTGCACCTGATTTCTCCAGTTTTTGGTCCAGACAATGTGCCTTGCGTCTGGGATTTGATCTCTGGTCTTTCGAAAGGTCTAGAAGAAAGACTGAGAACCCTGATACGACATGCGCACCAACCGCCGCAGTGGCCGCGCTACTGTGCGCTGGAGTGCGCAGGCAATAAATGCTAAAGATGCGACACTTCGGGGGATTGGGAAAGGATTAAAGGAGTTGTGTGGTTGTGCAGGTGGCGAGGTGCCTGTGGATGCGGAGGTGAAGCAATGGAGCGAAGACTGGGACGCAGCCGGTGACATGTCGATTGCACACACCATCCGCTACGCTCTTCTTTGAGAAAGCCGTTTAGCTGCCGAATTCAAGACTGCATCTCTTGTTATCTTCTAATATACAAAGGCCTATGCCCTGTGCCTCTGCGTTGCATGTGCAGGGTGGGACGACGAGGATCCAGATGATGAGTTTTTAGAACGCTTGCAGCGGGAGCTGGAGGCGTTCAAAACCAATTACGCCAACAAGACTTCCCAAATGCGAAAGACGGCTTGATAACAGTGCCCAGCCCGGTGTATATTAATCATATAGCTTTTAAGCAGTCGGGAGCCGACTTGACGTGTGCAGGGAATGGAGAGTTGTTGGTTGAGCTTTGCAGATTAGCAATTACTCCGGACAGTTTCGTCAATGTTGGTAGTGAAGACGTTCCCTGCTGTTCTAGGCACCCAGGGGTCTTCACAAGCTTGTGGTGATGAACTCCCCCTTGGTCATTGGTAGGAAATGGGACTAAGGAGGTTTCTGTTTGGCTCCTGAGGATCGCTACTGTACAGAGGGGTTCGTTCGCAGTAATAGCATGATCCTTAACTACGAAACTGCATACGTAACGGTGCTGGGGTGTGGTTTGAAGGGGCTGCGGCCGTCCGCACCATTTGGCCGCAGCTGAAAGTGCTGCAGGAAGAACCAGCAGGTAGTCTGCTTCTCGCGAAAGCCTTCCTGTTCATGGGGGCGAAGGGCGGCGGTCTCACTGGGCAGAATATTTCTGCGCCCAGTAGACGGAGCCCGCCGTGGTAGCCTTTAAACGTAACAATCCTTAACCACTCCCCTGACCAGCCTAATGCTTGGGTCTTCGCTTGCTCGCGAGCACTCACCCTTAGGGTCGCACCCGCGGTCAGCCTGCATGCCTAGCTGCTTCGTCTAAGTGCTCGTTACATTGTTTGTGGATACGTGGGGACGTTCGATCACGCCCCCAGCTTCATCTAAACATGGGAACGCTGGAAATTGTGGCCTGCCCCTAAAGCATTGGTTTTGTATCCATGTCGGCCTTGAACTCTTTACCTGTTAAAGCCGCCTGCAACACATCCTGCTGCCAATCAGTGTGAGGTTTTACCAATGTAGTCCCCGAGGAGTTGTTGTGAACAGTCTATGTGCAAGGAAGCANCAATCAGTGTGAGGTTTTACCAATGTAGTCCCCGAGGAGTTGTTGTGAACAGTCTATGTGCAAGGAAGCAATGAAGTTAAGAGGGTTGTAGCAGAAACAGTAGATGGGCAGTGAGGCTACGTTACAGCCGGTGGGGCTGGTCCCTGTGAGCGCCTGCATGCTCTTAAAGCCCCGGTGTGGCGCTCCTGCCGAATTTCGTAAGGCAGCCGAAGAGGCATTCATGGTTAGAGAGAACAAAGGAGTACATGCTGGCCAACAGGGGCCTTTCTCGCTGCCTATATCTGCCCACCTACGAGACTCTACGGGAAGCGGGGACAGGAAGGCTGGAGCAGTGCCTCAGCACCCTCGCATCCAGACACATGGAAAACCGGCTTAAGGCAGCCATGTCTCTTTGCATAATTTTGGACGTCATATTTCTACTAGCAGGGCCAAGCGCTGCAGCTCGAGCTGCATCCACGCCAACATCTCCAGCTTGAACCTGAACA